CACTTGTACTCTTCTAGTTCGTTCCTTATCTACTGGTATAGTTCCGTTTTTGCAACGAAATATGCTAGATTCCCAAAGACTGTAATCAGTATGACAAAAGTCTGCCTGTAAATACGTTAGAAATGTTTACTTATGCTTGTGATTGCAACATTTCCTTACATGTGATAAATACGGTTTGTGGTGTTGGGTCACCCTAACTATCGTTCGCCTCCTTACACTCGCATTCGGCACATTATCACATACTTAAACGTATTTGTGGTTTGAGGTCAGTGTTGAAGAGGAAGGGTTGCCATATTGCGAGCACTATCATTAAGCAAACATTGAAATCCGTCCCGAAAATATATACATTATATATACATTTGTATACTAAGGAATACAACGAGTCAACTTGGTGCTGAATAAACAAATAATGTGCACTAAAACACAGCAAAAACCGTGGTATGGAGGTACATACATATGTATACCTTACACAACGAAATCATATTTCGTTTACGAATAAAAAAATAACTGCCGAAATGTAGCGTCAGTATATATGTATAGTGAACATACTTATGTATGTATGTTGATATGTATTGTTGTGCAGCGAAAACGGTGGAAGCGTGGAAGCATGAATATGATGAATTCAAATTAGTCGCTCGATCTCGTTTTCAATTTGCTACCAGGATATAATTAGCTTAAGAATAAACATGAACTAGCGCTGCGCGACGTGCTCCAGTCACAAAACGAACGCCTACAGTGGGCTTAAATTAGTGTTGTTGTACCTAAAATTATTGTTGTTGAGGGAGTAACCAATAGACTGATGTTATCATCTGGAGTTGAATTTTTCTCTGGAACAGCACTTTACTAATCGAACAGTTGAGAAACCAATTTCGAAGATTTTAATGAATATTTATATTTTTATTATATTAACAGCATTAAGTGATCAAGCAAATATAAAAGGGCTTCATTATTTCCAGAGATTACTTAACTAAGTATCTATTAGCAACATTTCAGGAAGTTTAAAACCAAGTGTATTCGATTGCCACGAAGCTTTATTATAATACCCTTCACAAATAAGAAAGTTTCCATAGAAAAACTTGATTTTGATCGGCCAGTTTGTATGTCAACTATATACTAAAGATATCCGATCTGCACAATTGGTTTTGAGATTGTAGCGTTGCCTTAAAAAATAATTCGTGCTGAATTTCGTTAAGATGTCACGTCAAGTAAAAGAGTTATTCCATATAAGAACTTAATGTTGATTCCTAAGTTTATATGACAGCTAATGAGCAGCTTCTTGTGGAGAAAAGAACGTGTGCGAAATTCCAGACGAACATGACAAAAACAAATATATATTTAAGTGATTAATCCCCATCACAAATCATGCAAGTGACAAGGAAACCGAGCATAAATTGAACTTTTTTGAATACGAATATGAAAAAACTTGAGAGGGTTTCGCACTTCCTCCCCAAGAACCTCGGAAAAATGTTGACTAAATATTAAGTTCTTGCAGAAATCAGTACAACTGTATGGAATTTATACATTGTAGGTTCTGGTTATGGTCAAAGATTCTTCCTCGAGTTAGGTATACCTTATTGCTTAGTCTTCGAAACAGTGAACTCTCAATTCGAATTGAAACCGAATGCTTGAAGATATTCACGAAGTTACTGCTAGTAGACAGATATCCTTCTATAAATCATTAATAACCATTTTTAAAATCATCATTGTGTCTATCGCTGATTTTCGGCAGAACACAAATGGTATTTTGAAATGTCCCTTCAAGAAATGGACACTGTGCAGCAGTGAATGTGTAAGGCCGCAATGAACCACATAGACCGTGCAGAATTATTACAATAATACTGTGAGGCTTGATTGTTGCATTTACGCCGTGAGCTGCGGAAGCACCGAACGTAATAGCGACAACTATTCGGATTTGATTCGCCCATCAAGAGTGCAATAACGGTGGCCTTTGTGTTGTGTAATCGAGCTACCGATTAGGCAAATGAGACTACCAGTGACTGGAGCGATGCAAAGGCTACGACGCTCACACACACGCAAATCCTGAACAGTACGCGGCATGTCGGGACGGACAGTATGTTGGAAGTAGTCGACTTTTGTGCTGAACTTGACTCTTGGCTGACAGGTGAGTTTGCAATGAGTTTACGCAGCCTGAGAGAGCGTTGAAGTGACTGTGAATTGGGCGCGTGAAATTGAAAGGAATTACCTCGCACAACCAGCGCAATCGAATGCAAGAAACGCGATCACGAATCATTTAACCTGTCGATGACTTCTGTTCGTACTTATTGCACTCACTGTGCGGATTTATGCGGAGCGGGGGGGCAGAGGGCAAGAAGCAGTTCAACATTTGTTTGCTTTTTGCAAATTTGTTGTATAAAAATTGATCGATTCGCTGATTGATTTTGTTCCGACCCTGCCGAGTTTTGCCCTCACCTTCGCTGATTATTGTTATCGATGCTGTACATACATACATACAAACATCGGTATTTCATTTTCGAAGAGTGGAGCGTGAGCGTGAGCGCCATCGCGGTCGAGTGTGCTGGGCGTTGTTAAATGTGTCCGTCCTTGTTTGCTCGCAATAATTTGGCATTAAAAATCGTGATGATTATTTCTGAATTCGCTACCGATGTTCTTCTGCGGTTTCACACTTTGGTCAGGAGCATATTTTTATTGCATCTGCATTTACCGATGCCAAGCGAAGACTACACACACACACCCTCAAACATTTATAATATTTTGTAGTTATGAACTCGTAATACAGGTGGTTTGCTTGCGGTGAGGTGAAGGTGCCAAGTTTGATTAGGTTGCAAGGTGATTGGTTGTGAGTTCAATGAGCGGGCTAGAAATCGCAAACTCACACATTCAAATACACCTACAAATATAGAAGTTCAAATAGAAAGAAATAAAAAATGTGGTGGCGCTTACACCTTGACAAATGTTAGGTCGAGTTGGTTCTTAAATTTTGTAACCATCCGAACATAATTTTTTGAACATGACTATGAACTCCCACGAAAATAGGTACTAACCGGATTCGTTCGGATTTTATCTAGCTCAATGTCATATTTATTTCGAGTAATTAACAAACCATACTGAGAGAGTGACGGAGAACTCCTTCTCCAACTATGTATATCCTCGAAGAATACGAAGAATACTAGACTCGACCCTTATATAAACTTGCCCTTAGATAAAGTTCAATTAATTGAGATCATAAAAATATTCGGTGCTACTACTGGCATTCTCGATCCAATTCATCCTATATATAATCTCGATCGTGATAAAATTACAGGATATGCTGAACATTTTTCTTCTTCTTATGACCTTGGGCGCCACGAGTGGGGGAAATAGAAATTCCGATACAAAATATAGGCGTTGGTGGCTCGTGGTGTCATAAAGAAAATAAAGAGAGAAATGTGTTTACAATTGTTATGGATGTTCGACCAGAGAACATAAATGCAATTGTTCTAAGTTCTCTGGTTCGACAGTTCACCTCGTTTATTACGTTGCGTACCGGCATCTTATCTGTGTCCTTTTTGCTTCAAATATTTTTTTTTTAATTTACATCACTACTTATTAACTTCGATCGACATATAAAAATAATTACAATTTTGCACAACATTTTTACATAACTTGGATCATAAGATATAATTGTCGAAATTTTTTTATTTAATTTTTATATCTTAATTAACATTTCGATAACTTTTTTGATGATCCAATACGCGTTATTGTGAGATCTTTCCGAACGCATCCCAAACAGCTGCAATGTTACTGTGAACACTAAAGGAAAGAAGAACAAGCAAACACAAAACGTTTATTAAAAGACAATAAAATACCACTATATAAAAACATTTTGTGACGGTAAATAAACTCAAAAAATTATTTAAACCAAAGAAAAAATAGTTGAAAAAAATGACAACAGCAGCACGCCCAACATTTGATCCGGCACGAGGAGGTAGCGGTCGTGGCGAGAAAGATTTAAGTGCACTTTCGAAACAATATTCAAGCAGAGATCTACCAGGTCATACAAAACTCAAATACAGGTATATAGTATTCTTATAATCGTAACTTTGGCATCATTACATCTACAATTTCATTATAGAGAAACTGGCCAAGGCACCTCAGATGAGCTACGCAACCGTGACTTCCGCAAAGAATTAGAGGATCGTGAACGTGAAGTACGTCCTAGCAAAGCATTGCCTTCGATTGTGCGTAAAGCAATCGAAGCAAATAATTCTGCAAATAGTGGTGTAAGTGGCCCGAAACGAGCACGCGTCGAACAACCAGCAGCACCTGTGAATTTAGATGCTGACGATCCGATAGACAAAGACAGTTCCGAGGAGGATTCCGATTCGGATGAAGAAGATGATACCGCCACATTATTGGCAGAATTAAATAAAATTAAGCAAGAACGTTTACAGGAAGAATCGCGCAAAGATCAAGAAAAGAAACAAGAAGAGGAGCGTATACGAATGGAGAATATTTTATCTGGCAATCCGTTGATCAATTATGCTCCAGGTACTGGCGCAACAGCGAGTAAAAATTTGGGCAGTGATTTGAAGGTGAAGCGACGTTGGGATGACGATGTAGTTTTCAAGAACTGTGCTCGTTCTGAACCGGAAAAGAAAACGCATTTCATCAACGACTCGCTGCGCAATGAATTTCACAAAAAATTTATGGATAAATATATTAAGTGAATTTTAATTGTACAATTTTCGTACTAACAAAAAAATATAGCATTTTAAGCACGTTCCAATATTTACTTTGTTAGTGAATAAAATGAATATTAAATATATCACCATTTCAGAATATATGTGGATTCAGTATTTTAAGCATTCTGAAATAAATTTTTAAATACTTATTGCAAATACCATATATTTTTAATATACATACGTATATTGTCTAAAAAAATATTGTGACGAACACGGATGATGGTTAATAAAAAATAATCATAAAGCACACCCGGTTTCACTATGCCATTCTGTACTTTGGTGTATTCTTCTGTAATTAGAAACTTGGTTATTTGTCATTCTGTTGACAACTCAAACAAAAATATTCACAGCTGATGGCAATTGTTTTTGCGCAGCTCTTCAGTTTGTCTAATTAGAAAGTTCAGGAAATTTATTAGATTGAAACCAAATCAAGTAATTTGTGGAGTTTCAAACCTAAACACATAAATTGTGAGAAAAATATTCTTTGTCTACTATAAGTTTGCGTCATCAGTACCATAGACAACGTAAAAAATAAGAAAACATCAGTTGTACCCGGGTAGGGGCTCCACCACCCAATACGCAGTGGAGCTCAGCGAAGAGCAATGCGCTTACGTTGCAAATAATCAGAAGAGAAAAAGACTTTGGACAGTGCGGTTCAAATTAAGCGATTTTCACAATAATTTGCAAAATATCGTCATCGGAATTTTTTAAAGCATACAAAAAAATAAAATATAAAATATTAGCAAATATGTGTATAATGTAACTAGTGTTAATAAATGCCGATAAGCACAATTATAAGCCGTGCTATATAAAGTTAGCAGAGTCGATTGTTTGCGTGCGAAATATGCAATTATTGAAATAGTAAAATATATTGTACAACAACAAAAAAATAAAAAAAGATATATGTAGTATATATATTTGGTGCAAGTGAAGTAAAACAAATCTAAAACAGTGCTCAGGTTAAACGTGTATGCTGGTGATTGGATGGTTACTCAATTCACATATTAACCATCCAATAAAATATATTGAATAAAAGGCAAAATTATTTGTGATAAGAGTGCAAAAGCCAATCAAGCTGTGAATCATTTCTACTCTGTTATATATTCTTGCGAGATTTGCTTATATTTGTGCTAATTAGTATCGCAGTGCATTAAGTGAAAGCGTGAAGTTTGCTTAACAACTGTGTGTTTTAGGAATAAATAATCTGAAGCAAACACTAAACTGGAGAAGTGGAAGAGAACGCGGAGTTCGACGAAGAAAATGGATCGCCATAGCAAAGGGAATGGGAGTGGAGGCGATGGTGGAACGCCTGACAAGCCATCTATTTTGGAAGGTAATAAAATACATACATATACATACATATTAGGCTATAATTTTCTATTGTGTTTATTTTAAGGCACATTTCACACATATGTATTAAAGCCACACTACTATTTTATTTGACCAACAATTTTGCTCCAAAAAAGGGGTGGTTACAGTTATTACTGTTCATCATCATTTATAATCAAGTCAACCATATATTTGTGGGTGTCTGGTAAAAATATTGTTGCATAGAACATGTAATCAGTTGGTTAGCTATTTGAGTGCAATATACTACAAGTATATACTTGTATGTATGTACATATGTATTGTACTGACGTTTCCGTTGAAACTTCTTGGGTAAAAAATATTTTTATTGAATTTTTTATGTATTTTTACACAGGTATGTATGTAAAAAAATGCACAAAAAAGTTTTACATTTATATATGACTATCGAGGAAACTTTTCTATGACTCATAAAGAAAAAACTGTTGCTTTTTTTTACATTTTTTGTTACACATATGTATGTACATACATGCCATATGCATGTAAGCTAACTTATTTTTTTTTTTTCACTATTATTTTCTATTGTAAACCACCACCAATATCTGATTTTTCTCCGATCATTAAATAACTTCCGATTGCAGTTTTATTACATTTTTATACCCTGAACAGGTAAGTTTGCCACGAAGTTTGTAACACACAGAAGAAACCGTCGGATATCATATAAAGTATATGTATATATGTATATAAATTATCAGCGTGACGAGCTGGTTCTATTTAACCATGTCCGTCTGTCTGTATATATGTACGCGAACTAGTCCCTCAGTTTATCAGATATCAGTCTAAAATTTTGAACACTTTATTTTCTTCCCAAGAAGCTGCCCATTTGTTGGACACGCCGTTATCGGACCACTATAGCATTAGCTGTTATATAAACTGAACGATCAATATTAAGATACAGAACTTTTTTTATACTCTTTTAAGCTATAAGAAACACACTTGTGAAGGGTATTATAGCTTATCGTTTTTTCGAAAAAGTTAAAAAAAATTTGATTGAACATAGAAAAATATGCATTCACGTATATCACAAAAGACTTTAGCGTTAAATTAATTCAAATATTTTACGAACATTTTTGAAATTTTTATCTACATACTAAAATTATTTCTCAGAAAACTTTAATTTTGAAATTACAACGCATTTTCTAACTTTGGCCAAACTTCAAATAACGTGCCTCATAAAAGTTGCATGCCGCTGGCTGATTGGGTAATTAAATTGTGTGCGTGCATTAACACGCAAATTATTGGCTGTCCAACTTGCTTGTCATTCAAACGCCGGCAGGCAGGTCGCCACGGCTATTTTCCACCGTGTACGAGTAATATACCACAATTTCCGCAGATTTTCCGCCATATTCAAGCTCAGCTGTGGCGTATTGTATTTTTAACGCAGGAAAATAGGTGGATTTTATTGATCCACTGTCGTGTCGCAATTTAATAAAGCCATAATAAGCATGGCTTATCTGTTTGTGTGGTTGTTGTTGTTGTTGCCAGTGGTGCGTATTTTAATGCACAGCGCGGCCGGTTTATCTCTATGTAACCTGTTGAGCTTCATTAAAATTGCTTGTGGCTTATTTACTCGTGTGTACGCATTAATGTGTGTGAGCAGTATATACATATGTACATACATATATATATATATATTTTTACCGTTGTATTACGTGGGTGGTGAAGTAAATTTGTGGATTGTTTATCCTCAAGTTAGTGTGTAATATATGTATGCAAGAGTTATTTCACTGGAGTTGTGTTCTATTTTTAAGCGATAGATAGCCACAAACTCAGCTTTATATACATACATACATACATACATACATATATTTTATTATACTAAGTGCACAGGTTAATATATATATATATACTTATATATACTAGGTAATGGATTTTAAATTTATTTTTGTTGTTGTTGTAGTGGTTACCTAATCTCTGCTTGTGTGGCATGGTTAAAGCTGATTGTCTTCGATTTTAAATTTATCCTGCTAAGCAGTAGTATGGGTGTTTTAATTTGACATAAAAAAAAATAAAATTATAATTCGAAGTTTCTTAACTCTCAGATTTTCTTAAGCAGTTCTATCCACTTGTGAATTTCAAAAAATCGATTTTTTTGCGTATATCAGGTTTTCCAATAGGGTTGATATGATTTCTAAGTGTCGTTTCGACCATTTTTAAGTAATGTTTACAATTTCATCGTGGAAAGATATATGCAAAAACAACGTTTACAAATTATTCAATTTTATTATCAAAATAATCGTTTTCCAATTGCAACTTTTCGTGAGTTAAAAAAAAAGCAAACTGTCGATTTTGTTCCAAAGAAAATCCACAAATTATTCATGAACAACCATTACATTCACCTAAATTCACAGTTTGGTGTGGTTTTTGGTCTGGTGGAATTACTTCTTCGTACTTCTTTCGAAATGAAGCTGGTAACATCGTTACTGTCAATGCAGAGCGGTATAGATCGTTGATAACCAGCTTTTGATGGTCGCAATTGGAGAAAGTTGATCTTGACAACATCTGGTTAAAATAAGACGGTGCTAGGTGCCACATAGCACTTGTAATAACCGAATTATTGCGATAAAAGTTTGGAGATTCGATCATTTCAAGAAATTGTGTCATTGAAAGGCCTCCAAGTAGTTGTGATTTAACACCATTAGACTATTTCTTGTGGGGTTATTTGAAGTCATTGGTCTTTAGCAATAAACTAGACTCTCTTCAAGCTTTAGAAGTCTATATTGCGCGTGTTATTCATGACATACGACTTCATGTAGTGGAAAAAGTACTCGAAAATTGGGTTCATAGAATTCCTTCCTGCAAAAGAGGTCATGGAGGCCATTTGAATGATGTTATATTCAGAACTAAATTGTTTCGATTGTACTTCACATTAAATAAAAAACATTTAAATTTCCTTAACAATTAGTGTGTGTGTTTTTGTTTTTTTAAATCATATCACTCTTATTGGAAAACCCTTTATATCATATTAACATACAATTGAAAATATTCTCCGAAAAATTGTAATTGATCCAACAAATAGTATAATCTTTAAACCTGAAATGACTCGGATTTTGAGCCAGGCAAGGACCGTCAACTCCGCAGAATTCCTCAAAATGATTTGGTGAATATTTTATGGCGCTACATGAAGAACATACGTACTCTACTACTTTATCAAATATTCCCTTGGTCATCAGCTTATCTTCATGATTTCCAGCAACAGCCGGCGCGTGCTTTTCTTGTTTCACCAGCAATTAGATGCATTCAAATAGTATAAATAGCAGAAAATATTTCAATAAGCGCTAGCTGTGTTATGAAATCCATATGCAATCAGAATTTAGTATATACAAGTATGTATGTTGGCAAGTAGAGTGCAAAGTGTGCATGCACTTGTATGAATGCTAAATAATGAGTACATATTCTCACAGAGAAAACACACATACACATATGTATCTATGTACATATTTATGTATTTACTACATGTGTAAAGCTCCCCACGATATTTGTGACTAACAAAGACCAAGGCAGTTGCATTGTTCTGGACATTTTACGATGTTTTACAAAAATCCAAACCTTGTGATGTAAACAAAATCTGGTATATGAATATATGAATATTTTATAAAAAATGTAGCATACATACATACATATATATATATATATATTGCGGTTAAACACACCGATCTTATAAAAAGTCTCTATTAAATTTTACTTATATTAATATTCGAAAATTTGATTCATAAAGCTAGTCATTTTAATCCAGTGAGTACTGTTCATTCATAAGCCGATAGCAATCAGTCATTTATTTAGAATGTATTAAAATATCTAGCATCAGCGGTTGTAGAACATTGACATTAAATATGGATTTTTCATGGGCTTTATGGATGTTATACAAAGAGTATTTATTGTAGTCGGGTTTCTAAGTACATATGTATTTATGTATGTATTTTGTGCTTAAATATTTGCATGTAATATTCTAAGCTCGAATTACGTCTTTATTAACTAATAAATAATAAGCAGTAATTGTGTAAACATAACCTAATTTTTTGAATGCATTCTTAAAGGGCATTTATTAAAAGAATAAAACTATAATACCCTTCATAAATACAAAGAACTTGATTGCTATCTAATTTCGTGAAGATACCTCGTCAAATGAAAGAGTTTTCCATACAAGTATTTGATTCAGATGGTTCAGTTTGTATGGCAGCTATATGCTATAGTGGTCCGATATCGGCCGCGCCGACAAATGAGCAGCTTCTGAGTGAGAAAAGAACAGGTTACAAATTTTAGATCGATAGTTTAAAAAACTGAGGTACTGGTTCGTATTTATACAGACAGACCGACAGAGGGTCTCGGACGTTTCCTCCTGGGTGTTACAACCTCGTGGCACACTTAATATGCCCTGTTCAGGGTATAAATATGTACAACAGAAATTTTTTTTTAATTCCGTTTTACCGCTAATATATTTGTAATCAATTTAATTAAATAAATAGACTTAAATTGGTATGGTTTTCGTTTCTCAAAACTTTTTTCAACCGTCAGCTTTCTCAATCCTCTTAATTATGAAATCTGTAAGGTAAGAACTAGCCAGTCTTGTAAATTTTATTAAGTTAATTTTTTTTTTAAGGTGGTAACCCTTTTCAAACAATATTTTTAGCTTTGAACTTTATGAAAAGTCTTTAGTGTTGTACAAAAAACTGTTGCGTTTCCTGTTTTTACTGATTTTTAGTGCTTACAATTTTAAAAAATTTAGTTTTCTAATTACGAACGATTTGAAAACGGTTATCGAAATCGGTTCAAACAAATCCCAACGGGAAAGGGCTCTTTGTATACTACTAGTGACGAGTACAACATGGTTTCTTCTTCTTTTTACAGACCATGAGATAGTCTGCGCTAAATTATTATCTTTTTAACTGCATAATCCCCTCCATTTGTGATAAGCTCAAAACACTTCGTCAATCTATGAAGTGTTGCAGTTTATGGAGTTTTTGGGTAACACAAAGCATAAATATATGTCCAAGTGAGATACATGGATTTTGGATCAACTCTACCACCTAACCTAACCTAACTTAACATTTAAGGAAACTCTAATAGAAAAACCATCAAGTGAAAATGAGAACGACAAGGTCCTACTTCACTTGTTGTTCTCTTTTTTTGGCTATCATCAGCTGATAACGGATTCAACACTTTCAGAGCTAAAGATTTCGGAGCTATTTGCTCGTAATTTCGTAGGCACAATATAGATTTGTATAGTACAATCTTTAATATTTTCCGACAAATCTTAAGCTGAAAGGTTAATATATTTTGTGAGCATGTTTTTTATGGCAGACATATTTACCATATACTTTGGTTTGTCTTTGTCTGCTAAGAAAAGTCTACTGTTAGATAACTCATATAGACTTTGTTTAATCGCACTTGATTCCGTCCACACCCTTCAATGTTGAATGAGTTGCGACGCTATCGTAGACACTCATATCTTCTATATTAAAGGTTGAAATATGATATTATGAGTTTGCATACTTAAGAGGCATTCACTACTCCAAGCTACCAAAATATATGTATGTATAACCTATACATACATAATATGTATGTACATATGTGTGTATATATTAGTGTTTTTATTCATCTACTATAGATATAGAATACAGAGATATGCTACTCCTCATACAGGGACCCCACTAATGCAGAAAGCTAAGCATTGTGGGGCTTTCAGTTGTAATTGCACCGTTGCGCAGGCAGTGCTTAAAATTCCAACAAAGCGCATAAACTGCACTATAACATGCAGATAAAATGAAGTTAAAACATATTTAAAAACGAAAGTTGAATAAAAAAGCAATAAAAATAAATTGCCCACAATGTTGGATTTCATAACAAAACTTGTGCCACACAATACACATGGAAAGAGGTGGGGAGCAGCGTCAGTCAGCGCACCATACAAGCATAAAGCACTTCAATTATTTACACAGCGAAATTTGAACGGTAAATCAAGATGCAACTGTGAATTAGTCATTACTTTAGCAGATGTAATGGTAATGTAAAAATGCGGAAAATGCATTTTTTGTTGTGAAAAATATTCGAAATATAAGCCAGTTTTAATATATTGATTTTTTTTTTGTTTTTGAAATATGTTTTTGATTTTATTTTTAACTTTTATCAATTTAAATTTTTTAATATGATATATATGAAGTGCTGTTTTTGCACACATTGAGTCATATTAATAGCAATGTATTACAAAAACAAATTAATTGAAAAAGCAGCTATCCGTTTGGTGCTGTACTTCTGAAAAATCACTCGACAACTCCACAATCAACTTGACAATTCTCGGTATGATTTATTTTGCAAAAGTAATTGAATAATGTAATAATTACAGAAACACTCCAAAGATAACTTATTCTGTTCTAAAAACAAGAAAAACCGTTAGCATCGGAACCGAAGCTATAATAGCCTTCACAGAATTTGATTCCGATCGTTCAATTTGTATGGCAGGTATATGATATAGTTATCGAATCTGAACAATTTCTACGCGGAATACATTGTGGCCTTAAATAATAATCCGTGCCAAATTTCGTTAAGATACCTCGTCAAATGAAAGAGTTCTCCATACAAGCACTTGATTCCGAACGTTCAGTTAATATGGCAGCTACATGATATAGTCATCCGATCTTTACAATTTCTTCGGAGATTGCATTGTTGCTTTAGAAAATAACTCATGCTAAATTTTGTGAAGATACCTCGTCAAATAAAAAAGTTTCCCATACAAGTATTTGATTCGGATTGTTCAGTTTGTATGGCAGCTATATGCTATAGGTGTCCGATATCGCCGTTCCGACAAATGAGCAGCAGAAAACATCCCAACAGAGCAGCGTTTTCAGCGGAGTCACTTTCCACAAACTACAAAAGTAATTTCTAAATCAGTCAAAGTTTTGATAATTTACTAAAGCAACTAAAAAAAAGGTATTTTGCATTCTGACAAAAACTGGTCTTATAATTTTTCTCTATTTTATTATAATTTTAATTTCCTTTTCAAGGCAATACCCTTAAGATGAGACGGAATGGCAAATTTCGACTATTTACTCGTTATCACGCATATTGCTCTCGTTGACTTAAGTCGACTTAAGCCGTTTTTATTTAATTAGATAACGCCATTAATTCTTTTGTCTTCAGTAAATAATGTTGTCGTAGTCAGAACATCACGCATAACTGAGAATGAGTGAATGCCTTGTGAAATCCATGTTATTTTCGCAAACCTTCGCTCTGGAAACTGGCAAAGTTAAATTCCCAACCACGTAGATCAGATTCGGTACATATGGTCTTCAAATAAGTAGTACCCACAGAAGATATCTGTTTCTTACTTTCCATGTCTTTTAAGACGTCCGCTATAAGGGCTAACTGATCTCAGGGCGACTAATGATTTTCATAGAGAAATAGCAGCCTTAATATGTAGTTACAATATATAGTCAAAGGTTTGACATTACTTTCAGCGGTCCATCGCTATTCGAGATTTTGCTTTGTGTGCAGGTACATTGTCGTGTAACAAAATTACTTGCCCGTGTCTTCTGGCGCATTCTGGTCTTTTTTCGATCAATACATGGTTAGAATGGATCATTTGTTGTTTGTAGCGATTAGTATTAACAGTTTCAACAGATTTTAGAAGCTCAGCATATACCACACCCTACTGATCCCACCAAACACAAAGAGTATTGCCTTCTTATCGAATCGCCCTGTTTTTGCAATCGATGTTGACGGTTGTGCCGGCTTAACCCATGATTTTCTCCGTTTAGGATTCGTAAAGTAAATCCATTTTTCATCGTCAGTGACAATTGGTGGCAAACTGATTTTCTTTTGTGTCTTTGAAGCAAAATTTCACAAATGTTTTTTCGCTTTTCCATTTGTCTTTCATTCAATTCATGTGTCACCCATTTTCTACACTTTTGTTTCTTTCCGATAGCTTTCAAACGGTCTGAAATTGTTTGTTGTGCAACATTTAACTTGGCTGCCATTTGCTTTTGACTCAAAGTATCGTCTTCATTCAATATTGCTTGCAGTTCGGCGTTTTTTAAATTTTTTGATGGTCTTCCACGCTCTTCAACACAATGAAAAAATATGATATGGTTTGTTCAATGACTGTGAGGTTATTGAATATGTTTGACAGATGTCATGCCAACCAAACAGCGAAAATTCAGGTATTCTCAGAATCACTTTTAACTTCAGAAAACTATCTTAGTGGTATTTCTTCTCGAAACCATTAAAATTTCTTAAAAATATAACTTCATGCGTAGAAATCACTTGTTGTGGCTTCAACTTGTTGCATGCCATAAACCGTGAACCATTGTACGCACTTGCATATTCAACACACTTGCTGTGTTCCATGCATTGCAATCGTATAACGATGAATGTAGGTCAATTGAATTACTTGTACGGCTTCCTCGCCTATGCAAAACGACTATGGGGCAACTGGCTCGACAGCTGTTGGCTTTTTGCTAGCAGCAGACAGTCATTGGCGGCACAAACTCAGCTCCGCGCCAACATCGCTACTGCGGCAAGCATAGAAATGCGGCAAAAATCCAACCAACTAATACATAATTCAGTTAGCTGTGCATCCTGCGTGAAGGACATGCGGCATAGGCACTTCCAACTAGCAAGTAGTAACGAACTGATTTTCACTGTTTGATACAATTATTTCAACATGATTTCCTATCTCTTCAATACATATTTCTTATTTCTCATTTATGTTTAATTTTGTATTTGTTTTTGTTTGCAGGCATTTTGCACGGCCTCTTCGAAGGACTAATCGACAAGGATGAGACGGTGCGCACGGCCATTAAAAGTTCGCTCGTAAAAATACTGGAGACACATCCAGCGCGCGCCGTCGACACACTGGTCGAGTATCGTGAAAAGAATCCGAAGCTGCCGGAACAAACAGTCATCATATTGCTGAAGTGAGTTGCATGTTGCTTTATTGTTTTTGTTGTTGTACGTTTATGGTGTTAAATAACGGTTTATCGTAGTGTAAATTAATTCGAAATGATTGCTGAAAGTGTATTACTGTTTGAAGAATAATGAGTAAGAAAGAATCATTTAAAAAAAGGAAAGTGCCGTGTCTCAATTAGTTTGGACCGTTAAGAAGAGGCTTAATGAGTCATAAATAATATTTATTGTTCTTAGGAGCTTTAAAGTGTATAAAAAAGTTCTTAATCAAAAGAAATACTGAGTATTCTGGTCTAAAATAGCTCTTGAGTATTGAGTTCCCGAGTCTGAACGACGTCTTCCACTTGCGTTGCATTTAGACTAATTTCGTGGAGAAGGTGTACATTTTTTTTTTTTTTTGATATTAGCTAGGATTATGACAATGATATCGTTCGAACCTTTTAGCATGTTGGGACGGTCAGAATTATTGATTTAGATTAGGTTGAGAGTTTAGGAATACACTGCGAACTGTGGTCTCTTGTGCCCATATCGATTTACATACAAACCTAAGAACAACTAACTATACCTTCTGCATTTTGGCTTAATGTTCGTATGCTAATATTTTTTGCAGAGCCGTTGAGCGTGTTGTCAACTCAGATACATCCTTACCCTCGGAGGCGAATAAGAAACTCATTACTTTGGCCATTGAAGAGCTGACTCGCTCGGCCGATCATCAGCCACTCATACAAGAACACGCGCTCACCATTCTAGTAGCCATTGGACGTAATGACGAATGTAAAGCGGTAATGGAGGCACTGATGGCACACACCAAAGAGGGCGCTGTTGCACATTTCATGATCATGCAGTGTTTGGGCGCAATGGCAACGGCCAATGTGGTCGGCGTTGTGCCCTTCATCAAGCCAATACTAGCAACCGTATTGCCCAACCTGGGCGGCATCAAACAAGATCACATCAAGCAGGCACATGCTTATGGTCGGTTCATACGTTTTGTCTTTCCTTTTTCTAGCTTAACTCATATGCTAACTCTTGATACCAAATTTCAGCTCTTGGCCACTTTAGTGAAGCTTTGCTCGAACAAACAACAGCACATGGCGCGGCTGCTGTAACTGGTGCCACCAACGAAGAAACACAGCCGGCTGCTCCGCAATGTGCCGAAGCATCAACAGATTGCAGCACCGAAATTTCTGTTGCCTACGACGTACTCTTCAATCAATGGCTGCATACGCGTGAACCTAAAGTGTGTGTGGAAATCTTGCAAGCGCTCTCCTCCATGTATCCGCTGCTGCCGGTGGACAAGATACAGGATCAGTCATCGCGTCTTATACCGCAAATATTGGCGCTCTACCGTCGTTCCATCGAGCGCAACTCGGTAACACAATTTCTGTCCTCGGTACTGAAAACCAATATCGCAGTCCAACCCTCGTTATTAGATCCGGTAGCCGAACAGTTAATATCGCATCTCTTCGACTTGATTTGCGTTTTTCCCGACTATGAAAAGCCCCAGACGGTTAAGGGTCACTATGAAGTGTTGCGTTGTTTTCATTTGCTCTCCGGCATTTACGCATCGAAAATTATCGATATACTTTTGATACATTTGCGTAATAATAGTGAACGCGATCGCATTAAGTCGCTGCTAATACTCACACATCTCATGAATACGTCTACGGCGCATATTGGCGATAAGCTGCAGGGCTTCTTAGAGTGCCTGAAGCCGATGATTATGTCCGAGAAGGGCATCAAAATGAAAATGACCTTGCTGAAGACGATAGTGGCGCTCTCGCAGAAGGGTTTCATTAAGGAGAAAGAGTTCGTCTGGTTCGTGGTGCGTTACAGTTGTAAATACACGAAGGTCAATCAAGAGCACGGCTCTCTGGAGGAGCACGCCAATTTCGTGTTGTCCTGTGAGAATTCACTCTACATGCTTTCCTCCACGGCCGGCACCATGGATGAGTTGTTGAAGCGTGAACTCTTGAACTACTTTGTGCTGTTGGACTACACAGATGTATGCTCGAATTTAGCCAAGTGCTTGGGCAGCTTGTTCGCCAAATCACCGAATATCGAATATGAAATTGCAGGTGACGACGATGCTGAGGAAAAGAAAGATGCCGCTGGCGAAGAACATGCAAAGGAGAGTGGTCATGCAAACATTAAAAGCGGCAAAATAATTGTGCCCTGTCCGGAGTCCATATTTACGCGTTGCCTTGCACTACTCGGCAATTTTCACTGCATCAAACGCTCTTCGAACATATTGACATTCTTGAAATACTATTATCCGCATTTGAATCCCGAGCTGAATACGCTCTGGGATAAGCACATACCCGATCTATTATTGCACATCAATAAGGAATCTGTTTTCTCGCGCAAACTCATAGAGTTCATAAGTGAAACCGTCGAATATTTGAATACACGCGATGAAAACTTCGCCGAACGCTTGGTGAACAGAATGTCCGACCAATTGAATCTCTATCCCATCAGCACGCCGCACCTTGAGTTCGTCATGCCCATCATGACGACCGAGCGCGGCATGCTGATGAAGTCGCTCGCCTTGGCGCTCTGCTGCGCCACTGAACCGCAGACTATAAATGCGAAAATCGACTTGATCATCACCTCGGCGCGCCAGGAGAAACTCGACAAGCACATAAAGCATGCAGAGTATGAGCAGAAGATTGCGCCATGCGCTCTTGCCTTGGGCTACATTTCACGCAAGCACTTAACACATCTCATCAAGAAGTTAGCCGAGCTGGCGCATATCGGTGGACGCAAGCATTCGACTGGTTTCTTCAGCAATTTGCATTTCATCAAAGACACACATAAAGAGCAAGAATTGTACAAGACGAATTTGCTGGTGATTAAGTCCTTCGGTCACATTTTGGATGAATCGGATCCCATGCAATCGCTGCAGAACCTCGATGATACAATACTCAACTTTCTGATACTGCAACTGACAGGCACCAAAGATCAAACCATTATGTCGGCCATACTTAAGACGCTACTAAGCATCTGTAATCAGATCATTGCAACAAAAGAAGAACTGACGGCGCCACTCAAGTACCGTAAGCAGATAATGGAGGCCGTGTTTAGCATACCGATTGAAGCGCCCTTCAACGATCTGCCGCTGCTGCCGACAATTTTGAAACTCGGCACGGACTTCATACGCATCGGTAGACGTCGCAGTTATTTTTATTTCTATATTGTATTATAAATAATAAGTGCATTTTTTTTTTGCAGGTGGTGTGGAGCCCACAGAGTCCGTTGATGGCAGTGTTATATTCGAGATTGCTTGTAAGAACTTCTTTGCATGCGCTCAGCATTTAAAAATCAAATTCGACTCACCAGAAGAGGATGAACGCAACAGTTTTCTGGCAAAACATTTAAACGAATCCTTGCCGGAATTGAATGCGCTTGCAAAGGCGATTATTGAAACGGATCCCTCGCCGTCCACACTCGATTTGATCATATCGATTTTGGAGACATGGACCAGAGATAAAAACTCCGAGGTGCGCATATGTGCTTCGCACGTTTTCAATAACGGTCTGGAAGTGTATATAAAATCAATGAAAATCGGCTGTGAAGCACCGTCCAAATTCAATCAGACGGGACAGATGTTGGGTAAGATTGTGCCACGCTGCATTGACTCGAATGGCACGGTGCGACAGGTGTCTGTGGATATTCTGCAAAAGACACTTGAAATCTCTTGTATTTATGAGACACTCACGATTGCCGACAGTGAAACGGATTGGGTGAAGGAGATCGATTTGGTGAAGGAGCAAATTATAACCGATGATCCGAAGATGATCTACAATTTGGCGGGTGAAATTGCCAAAATCATCGCATTGCGCATGTCGAATTTTCAATATTTACAGTTTTGGTGAGTAAACGAATGTTATTTTAGGGAAAACATAAAAAGAGCATAGAAGTTATTGGAAAAAAAAAACGGAATCTTTATACTGATATGCCATAACTATTTAACTATGAGGCTTGATATAATCTTTGTTCCTTTCTTTTTCTTAGTAAAACTCTGCTACAAGGCTTACGTGACCCGGAGCAAAGTTCATCGATTGGAGCTTCGGTGGTGTTGAAATTTTTCATTCAGCACAAAGGTTCTGAACTATTTCACGCCATACCGGATCTCGTAAAGGACAGTCTGAGCGTAAGTCTGCAAATTGCCAAAAAATTAATACCTTTAAAAAGAAAACACAAAAAAATATGTATTTTAGGCTATACGTGATTGTGAAATAAATCGTGCTCGCTCGGGTGTACTGAAAGCGCTCGTAGCGCTAACGAAACATCATCCGAAGCTCGTTTGTTTCGAAATGCTGACACAACCCTTACCTTACGAAAGGTATATAATTGCCGAATAATTATTTTCTACTTTCAATTACTTGAAAAAATAAAATTTCACAGCAACATTGTCGAATACTGGCATCTCATTGCCAATGATCCAGAGCTCACCGCTGCGTTACTGGAGAATTTCCTACAAATACTAACCTCTTCGTGTCTGTACGAGCCAAGTGAGTCGTCGGCAAGTGAACGCCAGAAAATCGCAAGCATACAACCATTCGCCATTTTCTGTGCGCTAAAAGAGATTATGCCCTGCAAGGATGTCAAAGCGGTAAGGTTGTCCTATTATAACTTAGAGGTATTGATAGTAATTTGTATATTTTTCATGCAAAGGAATTGCATAAGAAGTTCCCTGAACTCTTCACCATGCTCCTAACCTCATTGGCCACCTATACAAATCTGGCAGCACCCATGCATACCGGTGGTCATTCACCAACTCAACAGGGTGCCAATAACTCTGCCAGTTCACTCACAACTGTCGCTACGTCGACGAAGTCGAAATTTGGTTTTGTACCGAATAAAGATTTGGTCAAGTTAAACCCCTGCCAAATCGTGTTAGATACATTTCAAGCATTCCTCGGCAATTTGGAAATGGAACAGATAGCTACAGTGCTCACCGTGCACACCCAACTCGCCAACAGCACAGACTTGAAGAACTATATTGAGTTGCTGACACCCATAGCCATCGGCTTGGTCAACCAATTGGAAATCTCATCCAGCACCATGAAACAGGTCGTCACTGCGTTAAGCAAATATGTTGCATCGCCATATGATGGCCAACGTATTGCGGCAGTGGGACTGTACTCACGTCTGGTACCGCTCAAACCATGCGGTGAGATATCTTCGGTGATTATGCTGCACTTAAGTTCGGCGCTAAGTGACCCTAACGCTGTGGTGCGTGGCTTGAGCATACAGGGTTTAGGTTATGTGGGTAACCTAACGGAGCATGATATTGAAAAGTATACAGAAACAGCGGTTACCGCATTGCTAAAGGGCATCGACGATCCGGTCAGGTGAGTTAAACGTATATTAACGTTAATTTTTGTGTATATTTCAATAACTGTTTATTGTACAGCGACTGTCTTATAAATATTCCGCTGGAGAGCATGCGCGGCCTGGCACGCATTCTACAAACCTTGCCCAGCGATCGCTTGGAATCTTTTCATGTCTCATTGGCCATACGCATTCGTCCATTTTTCGGCAGCTATTCCATCGAAATTCGCGAAGCGTCCATTATACTCTTCGGCGATCTGTGCGAGTCGAAGAAGGCGTATGAGACGAATGGCAGCATATCGCCGAATGCTGCCTGCACCGAGGCGTTACGTGAGCAATTGATTGCCAATCTCTTTCCCATATTGCTGCACTTGAGCGAGGGTGAAGCGACGATCATACGAGTGAGTTGATTTCATTACATGTATTACCCCTGAACAGTTTATTTTAAGTTTGTAAAACCCAGAAGGAAACGTCGGAGACTCTATAAAATATATATGGATTTCGATATATCGATTTGAAATTTTGCACATGTGCTTTTACCCCCTAGAAGCTGCATATATTATTGTTCGAAGCAACGTTACAATTCCCGTACAAATTGTTCAGATCTGACCTACATAGCATATAGCTGCCATACAAATTGGGCGATCAAAATCAAATTTTTGTATGAATTTTTTTTTTTTTTATTCATGCAGTGCTTCTAGCTTCGGTGCCACTTACTTTAACGTTTTTTCTAGATTTTGAATCATTTATATACATTTTCAGGCTTGCAAGGGTACTCTACGTAAAGTTTGTGGTTTATTGAATGCGCCGAAGGTGAATGAGATGGCGCAGCGACACCTCATCGATCACGGCCAGTTGAATTATGGCGTTTTCATAGTGGATTTCGTCAAGTTAATTGTATGTTTCAAACACATGCTTGAAATAATACTTTTCTAAAATCAAATTCTATTTTGATCGCAGGCTATGGACTTGCCTGCCCATATACAAGATTTTATCGACTCGGCCATACCGAAATTGCGCAGCCAATGGGCCGAAGTGCGCGGCAGTGCTGCCATTGTTATAGGTACTAAACATTTGTGTCATATTTTGCCGGAAATTATAATACCTTTCATGCTTCTTAGGTATACTACACAATTTCCTGCCGGAGCGCAATACCCAAACCGAGTCGGTGGGCAATAAGCTGGCGGTGCTGCTAAAGGATGAAAATCACTTTGTGCGCGTAAAGGCCGCTACGGCTTTGGGCTATTTCTTTGGTGATATTTGAAAGGAAAAAACCGTTGGCAATAACGCTAACGCTCGGTAGAATGCATGTATGTTTACTTGAAAATAAAAGTAAGTAAAAAATATTTACAAAGCAGCAGCATAAGAAAAGTACCTAAAAGCAACTAAATGGCAGTACGTAAACGTGTTGATGTGATTAAAGGATATTAGATTAAGTTATATAATGTTAGTTTATACATGAATTATCTATAAACTATCGCTGTATTTATACACGTATAACACATATTTGAAAATATTTATGCGCATAAATCATTTATTGTTTTTCACACTTGTGCATATGAAGCACAGCCTTGGCCTACGATAATGTAAATATCGAATTTATTTTCTATAAATTTGTTGTTTTTAAAAAGCGTCTTGTTAAAAGTTGTTTTAAGTCCACGTAAAAGTTGTTTACAGTCAAATTGATTAAGTTTAGAAAAAAAAAATGAACAAAAACAATTTAATTTTTTATTTGGCAGTTTATTTGTTTATAAAAATTTATGTAGCAATTTACCTCATATAATAAATACAGAAACCATTTTAATATTTATGTACCAAAACAGCAAAGACTTTCTTTTTATCACATATTGCCGAATGGAAAGTATTCTATGCGCCCACTAGACCAGCCAATGGTCAAAACAGTCTCTTTATTACGACGATTTTTGCTTTGGAAGCAAATGTATGAAGGATACTCTGTGGATAGGCCAGTGAGAAAGCAAAGTGGCGAAATTGTCATATCGAATTTCTTTAGACACGTATTGAAGAGCGCGATGCACGGGGTATCTTTGAATATAATCGCCAGGTAACGACCGTCTGCGTCCCAGGCTAAAGCTTGTGGTTTGCCGCCAACTTCACGGCGACCAGCATTGAATTTCGTTAAGTCGGCTATTTTTAAAGCTTCTTTAGTGGAGGTGCCGGCTGTTGTTGAAAATAAAATAGAATTATTTTTAAACAAAAAAAGAATATGTAATTAAAATTTAATCAAGCATTTGCATAGTTCTGTAGGCAGCATTATACAAGCCGCGACTGTGCTTGTGTCGCGACTCACCTGTAGCTTGCCTTTCCATGGTGTTTTAATTTCGGCAACGGCCACACAATGGCATAGACAACAGCATACAAAACATTTGAATGCGTTTTTCAAATATTTTGCAGCATTCATTGCCTTGAAAATGTTCTTAATATTAGTTCTGCAATTTACTCACATGCGAAAACCGTTTCGTCCTGGAAGTGTAAGCGATAGAGTATGCTGTCACCTGTTGTAACAAAGAGCAGAAAGTTGCCGCATGGCGACCAACATGCCGATTGCACTACACCACATTTAATAGTCCAACGTTCCGGCGTCCATTTCTTATCGGTCGACCAAACGCGAAATACACTACCAACTGTGGCAGAGAATAGGTAGGCACCATCAGGCGACCACTTCAAGAGTGAACATGGTGAGCCTACACGCCTTAACGGCGTATTCTGTAATTTATCTACATCCCATATTAAAATGTCAGTATCACTAATAGAGGCGGTAGCAAGTAGCGTGCCGCTTCGGCTCCACTGCACGGAAGTGATAGGGCAGTGACCGGGACTGTAAATACATATGAATTAATTTGTATTGTACTTTAAAACGCTTTAAATATTACTTACTGCTTCAGAAATACTGCTTGTGTGGCGCTTCGTGTTATGTGCATGTTTGTATCCATAGTCCAGAGACACACACCCTTTTGGCAACCGACAGCAAGTTCGGCAGCGGTTAACGGACGCCAAGCCATCGACGTTATCCACTTTTGTGAACCACTCTTTAGCACTGGCACCATAGCCGGTTCGTCTGTATATATACGAACAATATCATCTGAGCCCGCAACTGCGATTTTAAAGCAATTTGGATGCCAAACGATACAACGTATGTACGAACGCAGCCAGTCACGCGTTTCAGAGAATTCGGCCACATTATTCACGCTCACCTCACGCATATGTGGAAATATTTTGGTCTTCAGCCTTTTTACAAACTCCAACATTTCAAATGTATATTTTGCTGTTGCACATATAAGTGGACTAACAGTGGCCGTTTCTTGGTCTCGCGCCTCATTAAGCGCCTCCATAAAACCACTTTCGAAAAATGTGCGTACTATACGTTTGATGACACCTTCATTCACCGGTATCATAACATTGCGGTAGGTATCGTTTGGGTGGCCGCTGACTGATGTGCTAAACATTTCGCAATTTAAATTTATTTCTGGATAGTATTCCGACTAAAAATTCAAAATTTGGTCATAATGGTTGCACTATGGAAATTTTAAAACTTTGTTACTTACTACGGAGCAGCTGTCGACTTCATTTTGAGGTAGCGCACAAAGCTGTCCCGGCACAATGAATGTGGAAACATCCTGTAGGGACACCATTTCTGCTTATTTTAAAATTATGATATATAAAAATTTCTTATTTTATTGTTGGAATATCAATTTCTTTAATCTAAAAAGCGGTGAGCTGTTAAAATAATCATACCGGTAATTTGCGCGAATTTAATGACATTTGCGGTGCTGCCACATAAAGTAAGTATTAAAGAAAAATAGTGGAGACATCTCTGAGAATGAAAAATGTGTGTTCATCTAGCTTTGTAGATATTGAGTGTATTTATAAACTTTTACTTAATATAGCTATCTTATACTTACAAATTCGCTATATAAATATTGTATTTGTCAATAAATTAAAGGCAACCTTAATTTAAATAATCGTTTTTCGTGTTTTTTGTAATGTTTGTACAGTACGGCCACACTTTACATACCACCCACCAATCCAATTGAAACCAGAGAACGTATATCATATACGTTCTCTGTTGAAACCGATGTCACTGCGAGAACTGTCACCGTTTGACAACTTAAAGTTCGCGAGCAAGGTGAAAAGTTGAACAATTGTTTACACTGTTTAAGTAAATTAGAATTTCGAGAATTTGCATAAAATTACAACAATCGCGGGTCAACGAAAGTGAAAGATCAATTGCTATTTGTGTAGAGGTGAGTGTTTAAAGTGCATAAGTGTATATTGAATGATCAGGATTCGAATGGCAGCCAAATAATTTGATAAAAGTGTTCGAAATTGATTTTTCTCGCCTTTGTCGTGTTTGCTGCTACACTTTTTGTTGACCACAAGAAAAGGGAAGTGGGCCATAAGGGCCAATGATGAGAAGAGGTCAAATTGTGCATGATTACATTAGTGGGGCGCTATGTGTTTTTTTTTTTCTAAAATATCATGTTTGTTACTGATAAGCGGGTACAACTGTGTAAGCGCGGGAATGGAAAACGCGGTTAGGAGGTTTTTGGTTTTGCAAACTAACGAAGTGTAAAATTCATTCAATTGTGACGAGTGATTTTGAATTAAACTTTCACACAAATGTGCACATTGCCTAAGTGAAATTTTTATTAAATAATTGGCATTCACATTTTCATAAATTACATATATTTGTTGTTGATTCGTAATTACATATAAAATCGCTTAACATTGTTATCATATAATTTTAATTATAATTTTTTATTACTTGTAATATATCAAACAATTATTACGTCTTTCGTGACAAAGGCATACTATAAATACTATTGTTGGCGACGATGATACCATTAGTATTAACTAAATTACGGTTACTAGGTATTATAATGGACGGTTCATCACGTGAATGATGTGATTTCTTTTTAGCTAGTTTCGTCTTTACTTTCCGGGCAAACGTGCTGGTACTCAATGATGATTTGATCGATAGGCTAGTTTTACTTGGTAATGTACCGCCACCAGTGCTATTATTCTGTTCCTTTTTGGACACACCACTAACGCCAGCGGCTACCAGAGAATGCTGTGATTTGTTGCTACGATGATGTTTCTTAACTTTTTTCGTAGAGGACTGTTGCACAGCCGTGACCACTATACCACCAGTTTTAAAACGATTTATGCCCTGCACACCGGCTTTGTTCACTTGCGTTAGTGGACCGCCTTGTTGATGAATACTGATGTTACTATTACGATTGGCAGTGGATTGGCTATGGTTACTGCGTGTCTTTGATTTACTCTTGGTGAGACGGGTAATAAGCTGTGTTGTGTCGGCTATTTTCGAGAGTGCATTGCTGAAAAGATAGAAAAAACATATTAATGCTTTAAATGTATGGAATGCCAATGCAAAACCTGTTTTGCGATTCAAATTACCTGCGGCGTCGTTGTTTATGCTCCACATTTACTACCTCCTCCTTTGTTGGCGCTTTTAGTTCCTTTTTCCCTTGTGAGACTTTTCTAAAAATGCGCAAAGTGCGTTCGTCGTCAATAAGTTCTGGCATACCTAGTGCTATGGCGTCCAGTTGAATATCAATTTTTCGTGTTACCATTTGTGACGCATCTCCACCATTTTCCGCGTACGATTTGCCTACGTTGTTAAGCTCCTGTTGCCAGTTCATCAGTTTTTGAGAACAAGCGCTGTAATATAACACAGTTATAATACTACGATTTTTACTTTATTTCTGCTTTGCGCACTCACTTGAGAAAGGCCTCATTGTCGGCTTTTTGGAATGATTGATTGTCTAGTTTTTCGCGTGATGGTTTCTTCAGTTGGTGTGGACGTCTTATTATGGGTTGATTCCATGAAAGTGGACGTTGATATTCATGGAGATCTTTTGGTTTTTCAGGTTTCACGCCAGTCCAGTACTTCTTCTTTAATGATAGTTTCAAATCTAATTCTTCTATATTGTTTTCGTTCGCATTGTAAGGGTTAGTCATCCTAGAACTGAAAAGTAATATTATAATATTTTTTTGTTTGTTATTTTACTTTTATGTAATCTTTCTACAAATAAATCTATCTATGTGTGCTCCAAAACATTAATTTATGTGATTATACATTTATGTATGCGAGTATGTTTCCATTCTAGGCATCCAAATCACTAATGAACTCACTTTTGTCGGGCCATACACACCGGTTTGAGCGCACCATTATTGAGGTTATGCCATGAGTTGGTGCGTCGTGCCGGCTTAAATGCCACCGGAAATTCGAGAGTACCGATCGCATCGGGTAGCCTCTGCGTAGGCGCCATACTGGGTCTTATAGTGATTTTTGTGCCTTTCGATGGTGATGTTATAATCAATTCGGGTGGCATTTTGGCTCTACCTCGCTCTGTTCCATTATCCCCGATCTCCTCAATGTAACGTCGTTGCAATTCACTTTGTAGTAAACGGCGTGTTCGCTCTCTTGGTGCCACACAATATTGCGGCAAATTAGCATCCTCGTCACGTGGATTTGTCTCGTCGTCGGTTGAGAATATCAAATCGGCGCTTGGATCTGTTGTGGGAAGATCCAATGCTATGCGTGTTTCGCTGCGTTTGCGATTGCTATGCGAGCGACGCGGGCGCGGTTTGCGTTGCTGCTTTAGGGAGAGGCAAGGCAGATAATATTAAATAGATTACAATAACATTTCGATTTCATATAATTTTTTAATTAATGGAGTTTATTTGTTCAGTGCAAAGTTGTGATAAGATTTGCAAAAAGAATCATCTATTTAATCCTTCGAGCCGGATTTGAACCAGCGACCTATGGATGGCTATGTTCATTTTACGATTTCCACTACAGTCCACCGCTCTACCAACTGAGCTATCGAAGGTGTTGTTTAAATTTTCTCAAATGTTACTAACGAATTTAGTTAAAAAAAAACGTATGTTTTTAAGTATGTTTGAAGAAGTCACGTGTTTAATTTGATATAAATCTATAAGCATAAAGTGAAGTGGAATCAAAATACCAGAAAAGTTTAATTTTTTATCCTTTTGTATTAAAAAACTCTTTGCGTACTTTTAAAATTGTCAAATTTTGATAAACAATGAAACTAGAATTTTTTTGTAGCTTTTTAAATA